CTACTGGGGATGTGCCCACAACCAAGGTACATGCCCTTGACCGGAATCGAACCCAGGACCCCTCAGTCCGCAGGCTGACGCTCTATCCACTGAGCCAAACCGGTTCGGCCAGAAACACAATCTTAATTTTACTATTTATACTATTAAAATTACAACAAGCACATGTAGCTTTATTAAAACAATAAAAATAGTATGTTTAAATAAAATTATTTAAATAAAACTTATAAATAAATTATTTAAGTAAAAGAACAAATGAAGTGTCCATCATGAGGCTTAGAACACTGAAACTTGACTATCACTTATGCTTGTATTAACAGAAACAAGTTCATTGCTCATTTCTGAATTTCAGGTAATAATATATGCCCCTTTGTTGAGCTGAGCTTAAATGGAACAATTTAATTAAAATAACAAATGTTAAGTGTAAAATACAAGTCTAGCACAAAGTAGGCATGAACAAATGCTAGCCAAATCTGAATACATGCCATGGAAGTAGTGATTTTTCAAAATAAATAAATTAGTCCATTGCAGATCAGTATTTCAATTGCTGCTTCAGCACAGGCATGGAGACTCTCCTGCTCACACTGTGCCCCCACCATTTGGAAGGTGTTTCCAAATGCAGGAAACAACCCTCTCTTTGATGGATGCCAGACAGCATGGAAAGCATTGGAGCAGAGCCAGAAACAACACAAGACATACAGAAATGAAAATAATGGAAGACCTAATTCCTATATAATAAAAGCCTAATATACTAAGTGTCCGGTTGACCATTTGGCCATTCAACCAATCAAAGCATAATATGCTAATGATATGCTAAGGCCACTCAACTGCCCGCTATGACGACGTACACTGACCATCAGGGGGCAGATGCTCCAAACGGTAGGTTAGCTTGCTGCTGGGGTCTGGCTGATCAGGAGTGGGCAAGACGTGCTGGACACGCCCTGGAGCCCTCCTATGGTCCTTTCCCAGCAGGCCAACTCCCTGAATCCCTCTCTGGCCCCAATCGTGCACAGGTGGGGTTCCTTGGCCTGGCCTGTTGCCCTCTCGCAATCTGGGACCCCTTGGGGGATGTCAAAGAGCTGGTTTTGGGCTGATCCCTCAGGCCAGGCCAAGGGACCCCACTGGTGCACGAATTCGTGCACTGGGCTTCTAGTACAAGAATAAACAACCCCATTCCTAATTCCATAGCAAATTCTCCCATCAGTGCTTGGGGATCAATTCACAGCTTCTTGTTAAAACTGTGTTTTCATGTCCCACAAGGACATGGAGTAGATTACCCTAAGACAAAAGCATCAGTGTGTCAAATGTATATAGAGATGTCCTAAGGCAGGGGTGGGCAAACTTTTTGACTCGAGGGCCACAATGGGTTCTTAAACTGGTCCGGAGGGCCGGAACAAAAGCATGGATGGAGTGTTTGTGTGAACTAATATAAATTCAAAGTAAACATCATTACATAAAAGGGTACGGTCTTTTTTCTTTTTTAGTTTATTCATTTCAAACGGGCCGGATCCGGCCTGCGGGCCGTAGTTTGCCCACGGCTGTCCTAAGGCAATGAGAAATACATTTTCATTTCATTCTGTTAATTTTTTATCTGAATTGCATTTCTTGTTGTCTGGTGTTCTATGATCACCCAGGGCTGTTATTTCTAGTCAGAATGGTACTTGGCCTCTCATATTTATTCTTCATTGTCTCCAAATAAAATTGTAAAGCTTTATCCAGGAACTAGAGGCCCGATGCACAAAGATTCGTGCAAGAATAGGCCTTCCTTCCCCTGGCTGCCAGGACCGCCTTCGCTCCGACCCGGAGCCGCCTTCCACCTTCATGTGCTGCCCAGAGGGACGGAGCGGCGAGGGCGGGGCGGAATGCCTGCGTCGTTGCCATGGCGACGATGCAAGCATCCTGGTCCAGCTGCTGCCATCTTTGTTGCATCAATTTGCATATTCCCTCCTTATTGGCTGTGAGCACCGCCATCTTTGTCACAAAGTGACAGTCAATTTGCATAGCCCGTCTTTATTAGATAGGATAACAGCACAAACCCACAGATCTTTAGATTTTTAGAATAAATCATTATCCATCCAGAAAAGGAACATATGGAGTATTCAAATTTTGTCAGTGACGGAGAACCAAGATGGAGGCATAGGTTAACGCCGGAGCTTGCTGCCTCGAACAACCACTTCAAAAATACAACTAAAAGACGAAACGGACATCATCCAGAACCACAGGAAGGCTGGCTGAGTGGAAGTTCTACAAGTAGGAGGAAAGAGGAAAGCATACCGTGACTCAGAGGAGGCGCAGTGCTGAAGTGAAATACTAAGGTGCAGAGTGCATGTGGAGTGGGTCGGCGGCGGAGGGCACGGTTGTTGTCTTCAATCGGGAGGGAGTTTCAGACTCTGAGCTCCAGATCCGGGCGAGTCTCTAGGGACCCAGACTCAAACGGGAGAAGCGGGAAGGCAGCTTTCTCTCCGAGGTCTGCAGC